TCTGCAGCAGCATGGATGGACCTAGAGGGTATGTGCTGACTGGAGTATGTCAGACAGAGAAAGACAGATGCAATGTGATTTTGCTTATATGTGGAATCTAAAGAACAAAACAAACAAACTCATAGATACGGAGAACATTTTGGTAGTTGCCAGATGAGAGGGGTCTTTGCGGGGGAGGGTGAAAGGAGAAGGGATTCAGAAATACAATTCGGTAGTTACAAAATAGTCATGGGGATATAAAGTAGGGAATATAGTCAATATGGCAATAACTATTTATAGTGCTAGGTGGATACTATTGGGTTGTCAGAAAAGTCTAGACGTATTTTTTCTCTGCTTTTCATTGCAAAAATGCATCATGACTTTTCCGACAACCCAATATTATCCAATGCTGATATACTGTCTAAGATGACACTAAAAAACAGCTCTCTTCCCCCACTGCAAGGCTTGTGAGAAGATTTTGTGAATAAATAATTAAATTATGAGTAAACAAATTAAATATTGTATTCATAATTCTAAAAAACTTTTTTAAAAATTTCATTAAAATATAGATAACATACACTATTATATTAGTTTCAGGGGTACACCATAGTTATTCAACATTTATATACCTAAAGAAGTGATCACCATGACACTGTACCATGCTATCACAATATTATTGACTATATTCCTTGTGCTGTATATTACATCCCCATGACTTATTTATTAATAAATTAAACTTATGGCGTTAACGTCAATTTGATTGTTACAATTATGTGATTCTGAGACTTTCACGAAAACCTTTTTCTATTAGTCCCTCCTCCTTTTATTAGAAGTTTGCTCTCAACTGTTTCTGATATCCTTAACTAATATTTACTTGATAGTTGTTTAATTTAATGAATATTTAATTCTTCTAGAATGTATACTCCATGAGGACAGAGTTATGTCTGCTTAATCCACCATTGTGTTCCAGATACCTGGCAAAGTACCTGGTACATGATAGGCCCTCAACAAACTATTTCTAGGGTGCCTGAATCATTGCATGCTCACTTTCCTTCATTAGAAAACAAGGAACACATTGACAATAAACTTGATAATAAACAGATAATTCCAAATGCTGCGAGTGCTGAATGTGGTTGGATGTTTCATCCCGGGCTTTGCCAAACTGTGAGAATCAGACACCTGTATCAAACTCTTCCATTCTCTACAGCATTTTGTTTTTTTTTTTTTAGCCTGTTTGGAAGTTACCAAAATGGGAAATAAATTAATATGAGATGGTAGAGCTGTTTCTATCCAAACAAACTTTTGGTTCTCAAAAGCCTTAGAAGATGCTCAACACAGGGATCTAGAAATTGCTAAGAGGGATAGCTCAGAGGATAAAACCAATTAGTTTTACACAGCTAAAGTTCCCTGACACCCAGTTCCCTGTTGCTCTGTCCTGTCTCTCTTTCTCAAATTCCTTCCCACTTTTACTGTCTCAGCCTCTTTTTCTAAAAATGAGTATGTACTTTTTTTATTGATTTGGTATTGTGTAGGTCATCAAGTTTAAGAAGTGTGTGTGTGTGTGTGTGTGTGTGTGTAATCTAGTAATTTATAATTTTTATCCATATAAACAACTTTTTAAAAATTTATGGGTAAACCAAATTATATGTCATGAAGATTTAGAATCCTAGTCCTTCCACTCCAGTGGCATTAGATCTATAAATAGAGTTATTTTTAAAGCACCGAATATATTTCTACCTCTCACTAGACTCACTAAGTTGGGCAAAATTTTCATCTCTTTGATTCTCCACGTCTTTCATCCTTGAGCACAGTTGCTCCCAAATAGTTTGAAAGCATGTTATTGAATTAATTTTCTTATTTCTGAGTTTCCAAATTACTAGAAAATTTTAATCTATGTACATTCGGCTCTGCTCACCCCTCCCCAAACCAGGCATGGTGGTCAAAATCCCTCAAATCGTCTATGAGTAAAAACATACTTACAGTCTCAGATATCAGTGTTACAAGTGACAAGGTTGTACCCCAAAGTCCAGTTGTAAACTAGTTGTTATGAACCAAGCTCAAAGAACATTTTTTCCTCTAGAAAGAATGTTATAAATGATAAGTTTATAAATGATGAGTTTTGCAGACCAGCCCACATAACCCCTGTTGGATTTGTGGTCAGTCATCCGTCTAACCCTTCCTCCAGCCATCAGATTCCTAGTAAAGTCCTACCATGTGCCAACCAGTACGCCCTGCATCAGACTGCATCTGAATCATTTGATGGTATATTTGCAGTTAATAGGAATGAAAGCCACGGTATATAAACATTTGGCAACCCTCATCAGCTTATCAAGAAACTAGCTTGTTAACCTTTACCTATAAAATAGTCCCACAAATATTTATTGAAGAACTACTATATGCCAGGCTCTGTGCTTGTCACTAGGAATAAAAGACTGAATAGGAGCTTAACAGCAGAACTTGAAGAAACGTGGGTTTGATTAAAGGAGAACAGAGAGGTAGGTACAGTTGTTTTCCAAAGCACTTTCTTGGCATTTTCAAAGACTTTTTGTGCTCATGGCACTAAGGCTTTATTGTGCTTCTGTCCCCTTCAAAGCTTAATATCCAGAATGGATGTTGACTTCTGTGAAAACCAGCACTGGATGTTATCAGTATAACTCTTAAACTAATCCGCTATGATAGGGCTCATATTGTTTTAACCTCCAAACCAAAGAGAACATTTTTGAGACCTTTGAGGGTTAAAAGAGAGTGGAAGAGAGAAAAGAGTTCAACAGAGTGTGTTTTCTAGGATGTGGAAGAAATAACCTGAGGCGGAGTTAGCAGAAAGGGGAAGTCTGCACAGTGCCTTACACACAGCAGAGCAAACTTGGCTGTTTCTCCTCAGTGGTCCCTTTGTTATGGGACTGCAGAATTAGCTGTCCAGAGCAAGCAGAACTTTGGACAGATAGAAAAGCTGGGAGACAGCAATCAGCTTATCAGAGTAAACATGAAAGTCTTGATAATGGGCTGCAGGGGGGGGGGGGACTGCATGTCTTCTGACCTAATCTCCTAAACTTGCTTCCTTACTCTCTCTGCTCTAGCCTGAGCAGGATCCTGCCTCAGTGCCTTTGCACATGCTGTGTCCTCTTCCTAGTATACTCCTCCCTCAGTTATCTTCATAGTTTAGTCCCTCATCCCCTTCAGGCCACTCTGCTCAGTGTCACCTGACTCTAGTCCTTCTCTGGCCACCCTGTTTTAAATAGCACTCCCCTGCAGTCCCTCTCAGCTTTATTTTTTTCTTTATAGTACTTAACAACTACATGGCATTGTTTCTTTGTTCATTGTCTGTTTCCTTCTAGAATATAAGCTCCATGAGAACAGGGTCTCTGGCTGCTTCATTCCTGTGATGACAACATGCCATGGAACATTATAGAAGGACTTAGAAGGTCCATTTTCAAAGAAGGGACTTTTAGCCTAGAAAATGCTTTTTCCTAAAAAAATCTCTTAAAAAGGAATTTTTTCAGCCCGTCACTTACTTGTATTCAATTTCAAGACCACTTTGGGCCTTGGTGATAGTATTCTGTGTTCTTCTACTAGAAGATTGTGGGGTGGGGGCCATTTGTGATCATATTGCCTTTTGATCTTTCACTGTTTGTTTGTTTTCCCTATATCTAACTTGTTGTTTTGATAAATTCAAAATCTACAGAAGAGTTGCTGGAATAATGAACATCCACATACCTTTCACTTAGGTTTGCCATTTGTCAACATTCTGCCACATTTGCTTTCTCTCTCTAGGTATGCATATTATTACAGTTCTCACTGAGCTATTTAAGAATAAGTTGCAGATATGACCCTTCACCTCTAAATACCTAAAAAGGAGATACAATTACTGTATTCAGGAAATGTAACATTAATACAATAGCCAGACTTATCTCATAAATATCCTTTATAACAATAATATACATATAACAACAGGAAGGAAATCTCAATCCAGGAAACAGTCCAGGATCACATTGCATTTAATTATCAGGCCTCTTTAATTGTTCTCAGTTTTTCTTTGTCTTTTATGACATTAACATTTTTGAAAAGTACAGGCCATTTATTTTGTAAAATATCCCTTAACGTGGGCTTATTTTATATTTCCTCACGATTAGAGTTAGGTTATGCATTTTTGGCAGGAATATTACACAGATGACATCCTATCCTCCAAGTTTCATCACCTCAGCAGGTGGGGATGTCAGGTGGTCATGTTTGTAATGACATTAAGTTTGATGACTTGGTTTAGGTAGCGTCCAACAGATTTCTTCCCTGTAAAGGTACCTTTTCCCTTTGTAATTCAGAAATAATCTGTTGAGAGATATTGCAAAACTATATAACTATTCTATTTCCCAACAAACTTTCACCTAATAGTTTTAGGATCTCTGGAGATTCTTGCCTGAATCCATGATAACAATGATGGTTGCAAAAATGGTGATTTTCTGATTCTTTCATTCCTTTTGTATTTATAAGTTGGCATTCTATTGTAAAGAAGAGCTTTCACTTTACCCACTTGTTTATCTCATTATAAATATGGGCTCATTGCCATCATTCAGTTGGATGCTCGTATTGCCGGATTGGCCTATCTAACTGCACCGATCCCTAGCAGGTGGGGAGAGAAATATGTAATCCCCGGAGTAAGAAATATTTTTAGTATGTCCACAGTGCTTCTGAGATTTCAATTGCGTAGGAATCACCTGGGGCCGCAGGTTCTGCATTCCTAACAAGCTCCCTGTTGATGCTGGTTCCGAAGGTCTGTGGACTGCAGTTGAAGTAGCACAGGTGTAGGAGTCTGTGGGCTGACCTGAAAGACTTAAAGCATGTCTCACTCCCCTTGTGTTAGGACGAACACTTTGCCTCGTTAACGTAGAAGACACTGATTTTTTCAAGTGTGTGTGAGCTCTGGTGGGGGGAGGGGAGGGGAAGGGCCATACCCCAGCTACTTGATTCTCAGAAATCATGACAAGAGGAATGCTGTATTCTCCTCACTCATGCTTGCATTTCCCTAGAAATCCTGACCTCTGAGGGAGCTGGCCTCAACTCCTGATACCTGGGACTGGGAACTAGCAACAGCCTTAGTGGAGGATGTGTCTCTACCAGCATTCTCCATTCGTCAGACCGAACTTGATTGGTACGAAGGGAAGTTAGGCAATTTGTGCTCTCCTCATCAAAAAAAAAAAATTAAATAAATGTTCTGGTTTTTTTTTTTTTCCCCTCTGCGGGACTCATGAGCTTCCTGTCGTTGACAGATTTCAGTGGCTTTTAGTCAAATAATTTTCTTTTTCCCTTTTAAAGCCATTTCTAGACAGATTGTTGTTGCCACTCTGGCCATCTGCAGTTTGCGACCACTACATTCATAAAAATTCCAAATGTACTTGGTATTTTGCACTTGCTGAGTAATCTTGTTTAATCTAGTTACGTTTTTATCAGTAATCCCTTTTTTTTCCCTGACATCATTTCATTTACCCATCTATCATCTGAGTTTTACATTTCTCCTTCGTTTTATTAGGAATGGATGGGATCTACAAGCAAAAGCATCCCTCTGTGGAAGTCTTAGAGGAAGCGTCAGAAATCGGAGGGCACCTAATATTATGGACTGAATGTTTGTGACTCCCCAAATTCATATGTTGAAATCCTACTGCCTAATATGATGGTATTGGTGGGCCTTTGGGAGGTAATTAGGATTAGGTGAAGTCATGAGGGTGGAGTCCTCATGAAAGGGATCAGTGCCCTTAGAATTCAGGAGGGAGCTTGCTTCCTCTGCGCTGCTCTTGGCCACGTGAGTATACAACAGTAGACTGCTGTCTACAACTTGGAGACAGACAGGTTCTCTCGTGAGAACCCAACAGTGCTGGCACCCTGATCTCGAACTTCCAGCCTCCAGAACTGTGAAAAATACGTTCTGTTGTCTATAAGCCTCCCAGTTTATGGTGTTTTGTTATAGCAGCCTGAACAGACTAAGACGCTTGCTGATATAAAATCATATAGTCGTCCTAGCTTAGCAGCTACTAATCAGCATTGGGGAATGAGTGAGTGGGGAACCAGTATGCACATAGCAACTCATTTAACAGAATCCGGAAGATTCCAAAGTGAATGTTCTTTTTTTGTTTGTTGTTTGTTTTAATCTCTACCATTTGTATCTTTCGCTGTTTCTGGCATTTAGATAGACAACTGATAATAGTATTGACTTGGGTAAAGCTTGGGTGATTTCCGACTTATTCAAGATTCACAACTTCATATATGCCAGAACTCTTTCTTAGCTCCCCCTTCTTTCCAAAAGGAGGGGGCCCCAACTTCCCTGCTGAGGGATGCTAGGCACTATTCCCCTTATTGCAAAGGCATCTCCTGCTGCTAGAGCCCCCTGCATTACCGGAAAGTGCTGTAGCTCTTGGGATCCCTTTCTTGGTCCCAGCACATTCTTACATGCTCATGGAACTGAGTTAGTAGGGATTTTATTCTTCCTCTCTGAGTAACATGTGTTACAGATTGGTGTTTATATAGCCACAGTATGAAAACGTTACCTCTAAAAGCTAACTTGGAAATCTCCTAGTTAGATACATAAACAAGTAGATACATTTTATGTTTTCTTTGTTAGAGGATGCCACCTGAAGATTTCTAATATCAAATTGCATAATTGGCTTAGCCTGGTAAGAGGTGATTGCCTCATAGAGGTTCCATAGTTGCTGTAGAAGCATGGGGCCGGCAGAACCTGTGGTCTTACAGGCCACTGTTAGGATATTGAGGAGCGTGGCCATGGCTGGGGACCAAGTCCCTGTGGAAAAGAGAAAGGCTGTTTCAGTGCCTTGAGTGCTAGACACCTGGTACCAATTAGACCACACCTGCTTTCTGCTGTTTGGTCTCTCCCGTTCTTTCTTAAAAAAAAAGTCACTGAAAATCAGAAATGTTTCAGATTCTGACCCAAATCTCTGTGTATCTTTATAACGTCTCAAAACCATATGTGAATTCTGGTGATAGTAGTAAATAGGTGAGCAAGTTTTGCCTATTCTCTCATTCCGAGGTAGAAGAATATCTCATTCTGATATTGAAAAATTCTCAGACAGGTGAGCATCTTCACAAAAGAAACGTAGGAGGACTATGTCAGCATCCTTCACAGCATCCAAACAGGACCAAACACATCAGTACTAGGGAGCGTTTGTTAAATAAATGGTCCAAAGCAAAAAGTAATGGCAACTGGCTGCTTTTTATTTTCATTTCCCATCTTACCGGCTTTTTCAAAACATCATTTTGATTCCAACAAACTTGGATCCCTCATTATATTTCCAGTGCTGTGTTTGAAGACTGCTCGAATGTCAGCCCCTGGCTGTTTATGCGTGCACATATGCATAGACTGACTCGCTCTATCCAAACACAGAAGTGCCTGCTTAGTTGATGTGATCAACTGGGGGAATTGGTTGTTAGGTTGAAGAATACTCTGGAAGGTAGGTGCACCTTTAATTTCACCCAAAACATGTTGAGATGATTTCTTAGAGGGTTGCTTCATGACGGTATGCTGCATTAATTTACTTATTGTATTGCTTTGAGAGTATTATAAATTCAGCCAGCATTTATTATTGAGCATCTGCTAGGCTCACAGACCTGTGCTGGGCCCTCTCTGCCCCTGCCTTCAGGTTGTTGACCATCTGACCTGATAGACTGCATAAGGAAGGGACATCAATACGAATACTACACTCGTTAAATAACAGGTGCATGGACCTCCAGCTGAAAGAAGGGACTCAGATGAGGTGGAAGGGCTGGGGGAAGGACCAGTTTGGGAAGATGTAGAACTGCAGTTGGCCTTAATGGATGGTGAGGAGGAGAGGGAGCATTCCATGTAGTGGGGAGCAATTATAAGCAAAGGCTAGAAGTTGGAGTTCACATTGTGTTTGCAGAACAGGGAGAAGCCTGGTCCACTTGTGGAGGTGAGGTCCTGTGTTGGAAGGAATGGTGATAAGGCCGCAAAGCTTGTGTGGTGCCAGGCCCCAGAGGCGTTCTCCTCCTGCATATCCCAGTGGTCTGGAAGGCAGCCCAGCAGCAGCACAGGGAGGGGCTGGGGGCCGCTTGGCTGGGTTCCGCTCCCGCCTACATTTACCCTGAGCTGCGTGATCCTGGGTATCAGGCAAACTCTCTGTGCCACCGTTTCCTCGTTTGTAAAGTGAGGACAATGATTTTGTGTATGTCACAGGGTTGCTGTGAGGAGTAGAAGAATAATCACATAAAGCGCGTAGCACGGTGCTGAGTCCTTGGTAGAGATCATCACACCATTAGTCGTTCAGCAAGGGGGAGTAGTAGTGGCATAGCTTTTCCTTTGTTGAAAGCTTCATGGGTTGAGGCTTGAAGAGGCTTTGTGGAGTTTCCTTTTGCCCGGATGGAGTTGAAGATGGGAATTTAGAGGTGTCACCATGATCTCCAGCCTCTACTGGAAGGGATGGGAACGTGTACAGTCTGGTTTCACTCCTTCTCCATTTCACAGATTTAGGAATTGGTCATGGTGATGGGCAATGTCCCCTAATAGCAACAGAGAACTCGTATGCGAGTCAGTTAGAGGAAGTGGATTATTGGGCCAGAAATAACTGGAAGCTTGTTTGCTTGCCTCTTTGTTTCTCGGTTAACACTTTATATTGTATACCCAGAAGCTGCTGCTGTGCTGACAAGGATGAAATAGAGAATTGAATCTGAATAAATCAAAATGGAAAATAACTGTGAATACCCCTAAGTAATTGTTGTGTCCAACTTAGATAACTCATTCATGCTAATTCTGTTTGTTGTAGTTACACTTCGGGTAGATAAGAAAATGGAAAGCAGCTTTGTCTATATAAAAGCAGGAATTCTTTTCATACTGTTCCTTGAAGCTTTTCTGGGGTTTTTTTTAGCCGAAAGTAAGTTTAATTTATCTAGTCAGAAGTTTCAGTTTTTACTAAGCTTGTCTTTGTAAAGATATGAATAAGTTGTACTTCAGTCCTATCTTCATGGTGGAAATTGTGTGAAAATTTTTATGACACGAGCATTCCAGCCCATGAAGAAACAGCATCTTCAAAGGATAACATTACAAAACACGTTTTTGTTTATCACAGTAAGTTTTATTTGCTAAGTGCTACTTGCCTATATTTTGATTCTGAACATTATAGATGTTTCCATATATGCTGTAGTGTGTTCTTATGTACAGTTTAAATGGTTTCAAGGGTCAAGGCTTATAAACGCTAATAGTTCTGGTATAGCGCTCCAAATATAATGCCATGCATATACTGACATCAACAGTTGTTAATTAGTCTTGATGATAAGTGAGTGTGCTGTTCGAAGAAATACCTCTTTGTAGTTCGTAGTCCATGCAGTCTTTATAATATACTATGCATATGTGTGTACATACATTATATATGTATATATGTATGTATGTATGTAATCTCTAACGATTCGGCTATATGTAACATAAATTAGTTCAATACCAGATGATGTAAGTATTAATCTATATCAGATTCCTTTGAGCTGATCCAAAAGAATATCTGGAATTAAGTGCACCATAAATTATATTTATTCCCCTCCCCTACAACGTGCAGTTGGGTGCTGCTCTCCAGCCTCTGCCTGTGTCATCATGTGGTCATCTTCTCTTTGAATATGTGTCTTCACATGGCATTCTCCTTGTCTGTCCGTCTCCTGCTCTCATAAGGACACTAATTCTATTGGATTAAGAGCCCAACTGCTGTAGGATGACCTCATTGTAACTTGATTATACCTTCAAAGACACTATTTCCAAATAAGTTCATATTCACAGGTACCAGGGGTTAGGACTTCAACATCATGTCTTTTAGGGGGGACACAATTAAACTCATAGCAGGAATTTAGAATAAATCTATGCAATATTTAGCACTTAATACTTAACGGGTGTTAAGTGTGTGTGTCTAAGGTGGCATGTTAAAATAATGAAGTTAATAAAGTACAGAAGTGTGAAACATTGTTCAGTGTATTATAAGTGTCAACTTTTAAAAGTGAAGTTCTATTTATTCAGTTTTATTAGTGACTAGTTTATTATTGGATACTTCTAAAGTGAGTTAACTTATATGACAGAAAGCCTTCATACAGGTATTCATGCCTGTGCTTATGAGTTCAGTTTGTAATTACAGAAATTCTTCCCTTTCCCAATAGAAATGAGTACTCCACTTAAAACTTCAGACTTCATTGGTAAAAAAGTATTAAGGAATAAATTGTTCAGGAACTATTGTAAAGGAAATGGTAATCTACTAATTTATAAACATCAAGTTCCAATTAACTTCCTTGTCAGCATATGTGACATCATCCTTCTAAAATTTTTAATAAGTGTAGTATCATTGTTAAGTTGTTTAAATCAAGAACAATTCCTGACAAAACTTACCTTTTAAAAGCATACATGAATACGTGTAATTACTTCTCTTCCTTGGATTTTTCTGCAGTTTTCTTAATTTAGTAAACTAAAATGCTGGTATTCAAATGCTCAAACATCAAAGCTTCCCCTTTTGTAATTCAAGAGTATGGGTTGTGAATGGACCTCAGTCTTCAGGATTTGTTTGAAAAGTACTTTGAAACTCTTTTACCCTGTTCACAGATTCTTCTTGATTTGCATATAATAGTCATCCAAAATGTTAGAAGGGGAGAATAGCACCAGTACCTGTCAGCTGCATGAATTCCTCTGTTTAGCATCAGAGAATTAGAGACATCCGTTTTTCTCCTTAGGCCGTCCGGCAAAATCTAGTTCCCACAGCTGCAGCATCCTTCTTTCAAATGTGCCCTCTCTTGTTGCAGTTGCTGTCCTTCAGTGGAGATGGGATGGTGAAATCTCAACACCCTGTCCTTCAGGGCCTCTTCTCAGACCAGGCTGCAAGCTGGCCCCAGAGAAGCTGGAGTGGACGCAGACACACCCTCCAGGTCAGGTCAGCTGGCAGCACTATCTCTAAGTAGTAAGCAGATAACTTGACTCTTCCAAGCCCTGTGCTTTCTTAGATCAGCGTTCTAGCATCCCACGTAGAATGGGAAAAAACTTTGTCTTTAAATGCCACTAGGACTGTTTGGTGTCTTGAAGTTAGAGGAGACTAAGTCTGCAAACAGAAGAGAATGTTTTTGTTTAATATTCCTTTTCTCTTTGTTGGTAGACTTTCTTCATTGTCACGTAGGAGAAAGATCAAGAAAGATTGTCACATATGGGAAACCCCTCCCCGCAGTCTCTGGTACCACCATTCTACTTTCTGTCTCTATGTATTCAACTATGCTAGGTACCTCATAGAAGTGGAATCATGTAATAGTTGTCCTTTTGTAACTAGCTTATCCATAATTTTTTTAATCGAAGGAAATGTGCTTTCCAGAAGTAGGAAACGTCTAGCCTTGTTCCTGACTGATTCACCACTCAACTTGGTCCAGGGTAAGCTGATCAACTTTTTTTATTGTCCTCAGTTCTAGAATGGCACATCTTTCTTTGATGACACAGCACAGTGTCATGATATTAGTCAATTAAAGCTGAAAAGCAAGATCTTAAAATTTACAATGGAAGAGTCACAAAATAATAACTTCACAGCTCAGATATTTGCTTCCAGTATTTTGGTATAAGAGAACACAATTAATACGCAGAAAGTGACTTTGTGGGCATTGGAATCAGAGCCAAAGGTGAAGGATGGTAATTCAGGACTCATGACCCACTCCTGGTAGGACGAAGCACGCTTCTCAGAGTTCGGTGTCTCCCTGTCCAAGATGGTGATGCCCACACATTGCCCACACCTTGCCTTCCCTCGGCACTTCCCTTTTGTGTGCTTCTTGCTCATCATTCTTTCCCTATTTACACAAAGTTATTGCAGACAGGACACAATGTAATCGATCAGGTTTTAGTTTACTAAATATGTTCACATGTCAGTCCTGCTCCCCTAGACTATAGCCAGGTCACTTAGTAAGAATTTTGAGTGTTCATAAAACTAGACATCTGTTTACATGCTATTTCTTTAGTTCATCTTGAGATGAGTAATTTAAGCTGTGATTTTCATATTTTACTAATTTACCACTTAAAGAGAAACGTTATTTTAAAATTCTTGTAGGTGGAGGAAGGGCACCTGGCAGGCAAGTTAGGTGACTAACTGTTGCCTCCATGTACCTCCTAAAAAGCAAACAAATTGTACTAAGGCATGTGTTCTAAGTATTTGTCATCAGGCCTTAAATTGTGTCCTAATTTTTCATTGTTGTCTTGTCCAAATAGCAGGAAAGGTGTAGATATGAAATTCTTAAAATTAATTCAGCAAGCATTTGCTTGCTTACTATGTACTAAGTGTATTATTTGTATTATCTCATATAATCCCCTTAAGTACTCCTAGGAGATATGTACTTTTATTGTATCCACTTAAGTGATGAGAAAACTGAGACACTTTAGAAAGTTCTTTGCCCTATGACACAGCCAGTCAAGAGATTGTGCCAGAAATTGAAAGTGAGCAGTCTTGACTGCACAGTCAGATTTCATTTATTTGCTTTCAACAAATATTTAGTAACAGCCTGTTATGTTTTAGACTTGTTTCAAGAGATACAGCAGTAATGATAAAAGCCTTGCCCTCATGGCGCTTCTGCTCTGTTCACCACTTTTCTATGAAGCCATCTTGTATTCTCATCATCATCTAACCTAAGAGGCTTTGATACTGGTGCGTTTTTCAGCTTCTCATTAAGAAGTTACGAAAGTTTGCTAACTGGTGGGAGCTTTTCTAGTCAACTAGGATAACCTCTTTCAACGGACGTAATTGAAGAAGCTGTTGAAGACAAATATTGTTTCTTTCTTCTTGAACTATCAAGGACAAGTTATCACAGCTTCTGAGACTGTTGTACAGCTCATCCCCTTGAAAGTTAAGAGTTAAGAATGTCTCTATCTTACATAGTAGCTAATGTCCCCTGCTTTAATTTAGGCCATTTTTCTCTTAGATTTTCTGCAAACGTATACAAAAATCAACCAGTATCTTAGTCATACAGTTTTTGAATAGTTGAAGACAATATGAATACATTAATATGCCTTTTGTTTTCAAGAATGGTTTTTTTGTTGTTGTTTCGGATCCAACACAGAATTGTGAAGCACAGGACAGAAGGTCGTCTTGGGTGGTTTGCCATCCTCTTTCAGATATGCTTTCTTTCCTCCTGCTGCCTCCCCAGCCTCCCAGCCAGCAAAATGTCGCAGTTAATACTCTGGTCCAGTGTTAGCTCATGACTAAAGCCTTCTGTCCTTCCTTGTGCTTTCTTGTATCTTGTGGACTAAGAAGTCTACTAATCCTGGCCGATAGCTCAAGAGATCGCTCACAGGGCTAAATTATGACCCTGCCTGGAGGATTTGCATTGTAATGGAAAACATTTCTGCTACCCCTTCATTTGAAGGGAGTGAATAAAGATTTAACGCACCACTTCTGCAATGTTGAACTAACCCAAATTAGTAAACATTTGGGGGGGATGGGGAAGAACTAATTTCCTTTGTTTAATTTTGAATTTCTTAGTGAAATGTTTAGGTTTCCCCATCTTGATTTTAAAAATCAGGTGTGATGAATATTGAATGCAGAAGGAGGAGTACTTTCTGACCATTGCATGCCTTGTTTTCTTCTGTGTCCTACATCCACTGCCATGTCTGGCGTATATCGTTCATTCTGCAGACATTGTTTGGATATACCTTAGAATCAGGACCTCTACTGCGTGGTACAAGATTACTAGGTAGTATTACTAGCTGGTGGTCCACAAATGACTACTTGTGCCTTATATAAGTTTTACAGTTTCTTTACAATTTACAATTTAAAAAACAATTGTCTCTTATCTCATTTAATCTTCTATATGCTCATTGTAACAACATATAATATAGAAAATCCTCCCTGTAGACCAGTGGTTAAGATAATAATATTAACCTCAATTTTCATAGAAAGAAAATGAAGCCAAAGGAAGTTAAGTGACTTGATCTAACTAAAAACCATGTTCTTTGCGTCTAGTGTCCTTCCACACCATAGCTACCTGTAAAACCTGGACTTTTTCAATTCGTGTGCCTAATCTCCCCTGATATTTGAATGTTTATGTTACTAAGTTTCTGTCATGCATTTGCCCCAATTGAATTTCATATCTTTATTTTGGTAGGGCTTTTTTTCCCTTAACTTTTCTACAATCACTCCTAATTTAGAAATCATCTACATTCAGATTTAATGGAATATTCTTAGTTTCTGCATTTAAGTTATTTGTTCATTTATGATCCTCGGAGATTTAGTCTGACCTCCCAGAATAACAGCTGTGGTTCTGTAATGATGTTTTAAAATATCAGAGCCCTGATGATTGGAGTCAGTCTAGCTTTTCCTTATAGCCTGTACCTAGTTTTTTCGTTACAGTTTCTGTTCTGAGCAAGTAAAAATGGAACTTGCTCCAGCCAACTGTTGACATCACAGTAAAGAAAATGCAGCTAGTTTTTCTGCTTCTCAAAGGAAAAGGAAAAATTGTCAGTCTGCTTCTTTAGCATAATGTATTTAAAGCACTTTAAAATATTTAGCTGCTTGCAGTCTTTCACAGAGTAATCTTGTCCCTATGCTGAAGGCTATTTATCTGGACTCACTTTTAGTATATTGACTTAATTTTTTTTTCTAGCTTTCTCGTTTATTTTTCATCCTCATAGCCTTTGATTTTGCCTTGCTGTCTTTGTAACTGGCAGAGTCTTAAATGTAGGACTTATTTCTTGACCACCCATGACACTCTATCTTTCCAACTGGAGTTTTTATCATTTGATCATGTTCCATTTAACACTTTATTAATAAATTTGGTGTATTGCTCCATAATTGTTTCTTGTGGATAAGTCTCTACTCCCTGGTGTGATTTTAATTAGTAGTCCTAGAGGGCAGGGATTATGCCTTAACACATCCTTTGTAAAGATCCCTCCAAGAAGAAACCGAAGAAAGAATCCACAGACTATGTCTTAGACTATGTGCAGTTATTCAGCTTTTCAGTCAATATTTATTTAAATGCTTACCGTTTGCCATCCACTTTGCTAGGAATGCACAGCCAAGCGATGGATCGATCCACAGGGCTTACACACTAGTAAGAGGCTCCGACAAGTAAACCAGAGAACCCAACACAATGTGATGGGGGCCTTGAGAGAATTAGTATGAGTTGTTATGTATGTGGTGTATGTATATTGAGGAAACTTATGCAGCTTTGAGGTGTCCGGGAAGGTGGCCTTTGAGATCATTTGATACATAAATGATAAATAAGAGTTGACCAGATTTAGCAAGAGTGAGGAGAGGTGAGGGATTCGGGACAGGGTGCTCATTTGAAAAGAAGACCCATCTCTCTCACCAGAGGGTATAAAGGTTCATTAGGGCTGCAGCATGGAGTTCAAGGGAGAGGCTGTAGAAGGGACAGGGATCTGAGACAGGCTTAAGTGTTTGGCTTTATCCTAAGAACAAGCGTTTTGGTTTTTTTTTAAGCTAGGGAGCAGCATGATGAAATTTGTAGTTAGAGTCCTCTGGCTGTGCTGTGGAGAGTGGTTTGGCAGAGAAGAGCTGTAGGGAGACTCTGCTTAAGAGTTCATTGAAGTAATGGAGGGTAGAGATGATAGTAATCTGAACCTGGGCAGGTTAAGTGGAAGGATTCAAGAGACATTTAGTAGAGAGAGTCCTTGGGAATTATTGATTGCAGAGGAGGGGTGCATTAAGAGAAAAAGAGGCATGGTCAAGGGTGATTGGAAGTCCTTCAGTTTTCTGTTTCCCTCCCATTCCTCCATCATTGATTTTAGGCAGTCATAGATTTTGAACTGTAATATCCATAGCCATAAAATAAATAACATCTGTTGGACATTTTACCTTTTAATATGTTCTAAAATCTCTGTAAGAAGACTTTTAGATTACAGAGGGCAGTTTCATGTTAGAGATATTCCATGTTAAAAGATGAAGTAGCATACTTAGATATGTAAAATAATCCACAATAATCAGAAAGTCATCTTATTTAATTTTTCAGGGAAATGTAAAGATACCACCTTATTTTAAAAATGTTATGCCATTAAACAACAGTTCACTGATGACATATTTATTAAACAAGGAAGGAATGTGAACTTTTCAGTATAGATATTACCTATCCATTGCCCAGCCTTCACTGAAATAAAAATCTTCACATAAAATGTAAATTAATGAAAACATTTCGTAGGTACATAGATAGCTCCAAATAGTTTTGAGGGTTATCAAGAGCCATTTGTGGTTCCCTGGACGAATCTCGATCAATAATCAAGTGAAATAAGTTACCACTTTGGGCTTATGCTTCTTTGATAGGAAATCACCAGTGGCCACTTCGCTACTAAATACCACCTAGATACTTACTTCCTCCTTCTCTTCCTCCATTCTTCTCTCCCTTTGTTGCTTTATTTTCTTTAACTTCATTGTTTTGTACCAGACCTCCCTTAAATTCTTAGACTTGCAAAGTTCTCTTGAGAGAGGTATAAATAATATGGAACTGGCACCTTTGTTTTTGTCTTGGCTTTACCATAATCAGCTTTGTCTGTATGAATTTGCCACTTCTCAGGATCTTGGTTTCTGCATCTGTAAAATGAGAAAGCTGAAGTAGATCAGTGATAAGGGGGCTCCCAGCTATGATTCTTTTATCTGTCTTTTTTTTTTTCCTGGTCCTGTATATCCAGTTGCTTCCAGGCCTTTGTTTACTTGAGGGTCTCACTGGTACTTGAGATTTGTTATCAGAGCCACCCCCTCACATTGAGGCTTCTATGGTTTGTTCCAGGCCCCACAGTCAGAACCAAGGGACTAATGGGTGAGTTACTGGGAAGCAGTCCTGAGGGAGGAGAGGCAACACAGCAGCTGAATGAAAGTCTTATGTTTGAATGCTTAGAATCTAAACATAGGTCAGGAAACTTCCCCCTTTGTAACATCCTCTCTTGCCTTTTATTATTATTTTGAGCCAGACAGATGTTTTGAGTTTTTTATTTGTTTGTTTTTCTTTTTTGTGTTTGTGCATTTTTTATTTATGTATTTATTTATTTTGGAATGAGAAAGATAGGGTGGTTGGGTAGAGTTGCTGAAATGGGGAAGGAGAAACTACTGAACATTTTTTACAAACCATGCTTCCTCTAGAGACACAAAGCACCGATTTTTTTACAAAGGTTGTAATTCTATCCCCCAACTCCAAGTCCACCATTTGCACTTTTGATCATGGCAACCCACCTCTACCTCTCTCTTCAGGTACTGCGCTATAGCATATTCATGACCCCCCTCTCTCCATCACTAATATAAGTCCTTCTAATATCCATCCTCAAACTCATTTATTTCCTCAGGGAATGCTAATTAACCCCACTTATAATGTCAATCACCAATCACATTTAAGCCCCCTGAACTTAAGTGTTATTCTTCAAGAATATATTTAAAATAAGTTCACATGCAAAATAGGAAAATACCAAGTCATACTGTATTTGTAGTATATTTGTATATGTAGTATTTATGGTAGTACCTTCCATTCCATATTTTAAATACACTAGAAATAGGGTAACTTTTCACGTATTCATCTGTTTAGTCTCTGAGATGAAAGATCTGCAGAAATCCTTCAGTTATAAAGTCATTTGACCTGACCTGTTTTTTGTGCTCATTGTGATTGCTGTGACTTATTGAAGTTGACCCAACTTGGAAATTGGCCTGTGTACCTTTGCCTTAAAAATGTGGTCATGGAAAGCTGTTTCAGAAAATGTATTGCTCCTGCTATGATATTAAAAAATGGTAATTTTAAATGTTATGTCCGCTCTATGAAAGTTTAATTATAAATTGGATATTTTAAAAAGCTGTCCTGGTCTACTTCTTGGTGTATTTTAAATTGGAGATGGGTCTTTGAACACCAGTAAGGCTGCAGGGCTAGTGGTCATTGGGTTCATTGGTTTGCCACTAGAGCCTTCTTCACAATCTATCACTCTGGTAACAAGGAAGGTGAGGGGACTCCTGTCAACTGGAGATAAAGCAAGTACCTTGCGTTAATTCCCACCCCCCACTACTGTCAAATCCCTAGCCATCACTGCTCTCACTTTTATAAAAGCAAAGATGATGTAATTGCAATGCCTTTTTCTCTTTCTAATACTACACAAGATTGAAAGCCGCGTTTCCTGATTCCCTTTGGGATGTTAGTTTTAACTTTTGCTTTACCAGTGAAGACCACACTGATTTGCCTGCTACCCTAGGATTACTGGATTGCAGTCTTCTAAGAAGCAAAGAACAAGGTCTAATTTATGTTTAGCAAAAAAGTGGCTGTAGTAGAAATTTGTAAATTTGTGGATGCAGAATAGGATTGAATGACTGAGGAATCCTTTAATGCATGCTTTGAATGCACTTTTTGCAATGCCTGGTCTTTTGTAAATCTCAAAGTCCATTGGGTTTTTTGTTTTGACTCTTGCAAAGTCATAAATACCTTTCCACTAAAACCCCCCACCCTCACTGCACTCCTGCTTGCTTACAGTTGTCAACACTCATGTTCTCTGGACCCACCCCACAGTAATAAGTTTGTTAGTGATGTTTAAATAAGGTGCAAATCAAGGGATGTCTTTGTGTCCCCCCTCATCCCCCCCCCCAACACAGGTGGGATTGGCTTGGGGAAGACGCAGCCCAGTAGACAATTTCTTAGGGTGACTCATTCTCAACACTGACCGTTGTTGTTAAGTCTGCTAGGGAAAATATACCAGACATTGTTACCACGAAAACAACCGGGAGGGGTTGGTGGTGGAGAGAAGCACCGAGATAAAATTTGGCTAAAGCTACGTGTCGCGCTGGAGCGGCGGCCGCGGGGCGGGAGGGGCGGCCGCGGCACCTGCGAGGAGCGCGGGCTGGCGGGCGTGGCCTGCGGGCGTGGCGCCGGGGGCGTGGCCGGCCAGCGGCGCCGGCGGTTGAAAGGGGGTGGAGTTGCCCTTGGAGGCGGCACCGGCGCTGGGCCCCGAGGCCCGCCGCGCCCTATCGGGCCCTAGCCGAGTGGCCCCGCGGAGCCGGCGCGCTCCCGCCTGCAGGGGGAGGGCGGACGGGGCGCCGGGACCGGCCAGGCCGCGGCGGGCGCTGTTTCTCTTTCACTTTCCTTCCTTGCGAGGCCGGCGCGCTGGCGGGCGAGGAGCAGCGGCGGCCGCGGGGTAGGTACCGCGCGGGCTCGAGAGCGGCCGAGGGGCCGGGACCCCAGCCAGCCCCGCGCTCCCCGCCCAACTTTGCGCCGGGAACCGGAGCGGCATCTCCAGGCACCTGCCGAGGTCGGCCCCGTCTGGAACCGGGAGAGTCCTTCGGAGGCGGGGAGGCGGGAGAAGGGGGGGTGGCCGGCCGGTGTTTGGGGGCGTCGGAGGCGCGGCCTCCTTTCGGGGGCGGATTGGGCGGCGGGCTGCGGGCGTCCGGCCGCGGGAGAGGCGGAGCGTCCGCCCCGGCCTGAACGGCGCGTCCGCCGGGCGCGGGCACCTGCGGGGCGGGCGGGGCGGACTGGTGCTTGGACCGCCCAGGGCCGGCCCGCCCGGGGCCGTATCGCAGGGTCCCGCCGCCGGAGGACGTGGAAAAGTTCCCTGCCGCCCCTGCCCAGGCGCTGCACACACTTGCTTCCTTTCTGTCTTGGTGACAGGGCTCGATGGCTGACGATCTTAATACCCAGCCCAGGTCGGGGACCGTGCGTGGCTTCTTTTGGAGGACTTTCTCTTACTTGAGGCTTCCTGGCAAACCTGTGGGAAAGGCTGGGCCGTGAATCCCAGTGTCTAAGGGGAGGAAGCCGAGACCCGGGCACGGATCTTAAATGCCTTGCTGAAGGTCAAACAGGGCTGAGGACCAGAGCCCAGACCCCCAGTCTGTTAATCATGCTCTCTTTCTGTTATACCATCCACACGATTTCCCGAGCGGATAGGAGGATAACACGCAGAAGCTAGTCAGTGTACATTCTCCATGGTGATGTGTGAATGGGATGATGCCTTTTACCTTTCCGAGTCCTTCATTTATACTTACCAATGAGTGAATAGCTAAGATAGAAAAGTTTCTGTTTTTTAGAATTAACTTAGGAAATAACACCTTTTTCGTGTTGTGTTTTCTAAGAGGACACATTTGTTACATGAAACCTTTAAAACTTTTTTTTAAAGGAACCTTATGTACAAGCCAACTATGCTAAACGTTTCTGGAAAAAAAGTTACAGTTTTTATTGTGTGCTACGTAGCTCTATGTATTGTATATTGTCTCATTTAATCCTCTCCACTTTAGGAGGCTGGCACTCTTTTCATTTTAGTTAACAAAAAAAAAAAAAAACAACAACAAAAACAGAAAGAGGATAAGTAACATTGCCCAGGTTATACCTTTACTAAATGGGATGGGTTTGTATCAGAGATTTTTGCGGTCTAATAGAGGAGTTATAAAGACTGTGTAACTATAAATCCAAATATGTAAAAGAAAAATGTAACAGGAGAGAAGTAAGGGTTAAAAACCATGGAGAGATTACTCCGAGGATAGCACTAGAGACCGGTTTTGAAGGATAGGTAGGATCTAGACAGAGGACAGGTAGGGCTTGTTGAATACTGGGCATAGAGCCTGCAGAGTGGACTGTGGGAGAGACAGAGAGTGATCCTTTCAGTTTTCCTCAGTGTTGAAGGTTATGCTAAGGTCATCCTGTGGAGAGTCTTATGGGTAGATGACAAGCTAAGAAACTTAATCATTGAGATGAGACACTGATGTTCTTTGTCATTCTGTCTTGGACTTTCTTTCCTAACCTGGTAGCAGAATATAAGATGGATGGAAGGTGGAGAGGTAATACACTAGTAGGCTGACTGGGGATGAAATGGAATAGGACATCAACTTGATTTGACTACTGACTGGATGCAGGGTACAAAATGGAAATAGGGAGCATTTTGATAGGCACGATAATGACCTCAATTTTGAATCCTTTAACCTTGTATTCACAGGAACTAATAACAGCAGTCAAGCAGATAGTTAAAATGTAGTACTGAAGAAGTAAAGATATCAAAACTGGAGTTAATAGCTTTGGATGTCATTTGTGCAGAGGTGATAGTTGAGGCTCCAGGATTGGATGAGTTTGTCATTGTTCTGAAATTGTAGCAGGTTTCAAATTAATGTTACAGTGAGGGAAATGTTCTATTCACTTGTTCATCCAGTTTGAAACATGTAACACTTGCTGCTAATATAATGATACTAATATAGTATGAAGAATTTGATACCTTTTTCTCCTCTTTTAAATTATTGTGGAAACAGATATGGGAAAGCGGAACCACCAAAAGGAGTAATGACCGGCGATCTCATGATAGATCTGGATGATAGTTCTCATGCCTCGGGATATCCAGTTGGGAACTCTCCAGCTCCTGGGCTCAGACTTTCATCCACTATAAAACCCTTCTTTGCCTGAACTCCTACTAAAGCCACTCCTAGCTAACTACGAATGGCTACCCAAAGGAAACACTTGGTGAAAGATTTCAATCCTTACATCACCTGCTATATCTGTAAAGGGTATCTGATCAAGCCAACTACAGTAACGGAATGCCTCCATACCTGTAAGTAATCGTTTATGTAATATATCCGTGAGAAGTTATGGGTCACGCTTGCTGTTTTAAAACTACCACATTTTGTTTTTAGCTAGATTTTAACTTTTAAAATGATGAGTATTCTAAGAATTTCTTTAAATATATTTTCAGGATTGAATTTATTTGTCACTGGGATACAAGTGGCATGAAATTATTCTTGTATTATTTAAATTGTAATAGTTGACCCTTACCTAATTTTAAAATGTTCTAAAAATCACAAGCATATTATTGGTTATAGTTTTTTAAAAAGTAAACTATTACTTTTATATTTAAAAAATTGTACTGAAGGAATTAATCTACTCGGGTTTTGTTAGAATTTGCATACTTTTCATTCATTTTTTTTTTTTTAAATCTGCTTTATTGAGGTATGGTTGCCATACAAAAAGCTGTACATATTTAATGTATACAACTTGATGAGTTTAGAGATATGTATACGCTCTTGAAACCTTCACCACATCTATGCCATAAACCTACTCTCACCTCCAAAAGCTTCCTCCCATGCTCTAATTATTTTTGTGATAAGAACACTTAACATTAAGTACACCATTTTAGAAAATTTTAAATATACAACACAGTATTGTTAACTATAGGCACTGTGCTGTACAGTAGGTCTCTAGGACTTATTCATCTTGTATAACCAGAACTTTGTACCCTTTAACTAATAACCAGCAGCCTCAGCATCACCTGGAAACTTGTCAGGCCCCACCCCAGAATTACTGAATCAGAAACTCGGGGAGTGGGCCCAGCAATCTGTGTTTAACATGCTCTCTAGGTGATTCTGAAGCATTCTCTAATTTGAGACGCACTGTTTTAATATGATCATATCTGTGGAGCTCCTAACAAGTCTTTTCTCACCTGTCCTATCTATCAGTAGAGGAAGATAATTTCTTTTTTAGCTGAGCCATCCTGCCACCTGTTGGCAGCTCAGCTCGGGCTGGGAATCAAACCGGAGACCCTGTTGCTCAGATCACATACTCTTTTTTTTTAAAGATTTTTATTGGGGAATTGGGGGGATCGGAACAGTGCTAGGGAATTGGGGGAAGGGGAACAGACAAGTCGCTGTCGTTTTGTTCTTCAGTCTAGTTGTGGAGGACGTTGTTTCACTGGCCCAAGTTGGCACCATCATTGCGCTCCTCCCGGGTGAGGCAGATCAGTCGCCGGCTTCTGGACGGCTGCTCACGCTGGCTGCTGGCTACATACGGTAGCCCATGGCAACCCACTGCCACAGGGGCTGCAGCCTACACGGTTGCCGGCGATTCATGGCAGCCCAGCTCCAGGTTGAGCTGTTGTTCAGCATGTTAGCTGCGGAGGGCAGTGTCACTGGCCCTCATATGTGGGATCCGAACCGGGGCCCTCTGGCATCCCAAGCCAGTTCTTAACCATCGCGCCACTCGGCCGGCCCAGAGCGCATACTCTTGAATGAGCTCTTAACCAACTGAGCCACTCGGCTGGCCTGAGGAAGAAAAATTTTTATAGCCACTTATGGCAGGATTTCACATACTTTTTGTTTTTCTTCCATTATGTATTTATTTTTCTGTTTTAATAAAAATAATTCCAGTAAGTTCTAACTTAATGCCTTTTATGTGCACAAAAATACATATATGTCATATATGTACTTTATTTTATTTTTAGCTTTACATAACTTTGGAGCAGTTTGAAGTGGATGTGGGGAGAGAAAGAGGGTATGGAGATTATCTTCATTTTGTGGGAGTGGAAACTAAGAGTCAAGTACCTTGCTCTGGCCCACAGCTAATGAGGGGTAGACTTGTGTTCAACTCCAAAGCCTGTCCTCTTTCTAAGATAAAATGGTACCTTTTTTATTAATCCTCTTTTTTTTTAGCTCTACTCCCTCTGCTGAACTACTTATTATAAATAGGGGTGCAAAATAGAATCAATCACCTGGAAATGTTTAACATGTCAAATTTTATGTTATATGTATTTTACAACAACAACAATAATAATAATAAATGGAATCACCAACGAAGCTGTTTAATAGGTGGAGCTCAGAACTCCACCTGGAAAGGTTTGGTGGGTGTGGTGGTGAGGTTTGGGCATGTATATTTTGGAAAACCTCTCCAAGTGATGCTGGTATGTATTCCTTTGGGGTATTACTGGCCAATGCTATTCAATTGGCAATTAGCTGTGAACAGTCTTGAAATACTAAATTACTGTTGCTCTGTATCATTATTTAACTTGAACAATTACCAGTTAAATATCATCTAACAGATGTGTGGATGTGTGCCATGCACCATTCTAGGCACAGAGGATACAGCAGTGAACCGGAGAGTAAAATCTCTGCTCTTAAGAAGTTTTAGGGGAAACTAATAATAAATACGAGTATGTGGCATGTCAGTGATAAATGCTATGAAGAGGAACAAAGAAGGCCGGTAAATAGGAGAGATGGGGTTATTTTATGTAGAGTGTCAGGGTCAGGCTCTTTGATATGATGACATCTGAACAGAAACCTGAAGGTATTGCGCTCTGTGAATAAATGGGAAGATCATTCTAGGCAGAGGGAAAATGAAGTGTAAGGCCTTGAGGTGGGAATGCCCTTGGCAGGTTTAGGGATGAGCAAATCAGTTAGAAGGCTATTGCTGTAGGTCAGCTGAAAGATCATAGGGCATTCACCCAAGGTAATGAGGTGTGAGATGAAGGTGGGGAAGAGTGACTGGATTGTAGATGTATTTTGGAGGAAGAGCGGATAGAATGTGGCGACTCTAGAGGGGGGACTTTATCTTATTCTTCCATGTTTCCCACTATACCAAGCATGGTACCTGGACATGGACCATAGTCTGTTTTGCTGCTTCTAACATTTGTACATTATTTTTATATTTGGTTGTGTCCAACAATAACTGCCCGTTGTTTGGGAGATGGAAAGAAAGCACAAATTCTCTTTCTGCCTATATAATGCAGATTTTATATCTGTTCTTCTGAAAGAAAAATTTTATTTGGGACACAATGAAGTCCCAATTTAAGTGTCACTTTTTAGGAGGAAAAACAAAAGATTCTACAAATATAAACAATCAGTTTATAAACAAGGGTTATGTGTATGTCTGCAACAGCAATTAGAGGTCTAAAGGGGTAAATGACAGTCTGCATAAGTCATTCTGGCCTGCAAAACCCCTTGGCAGTCATCGGGCCCCTTTACTAAGAGAGAATGAGCATGGCAGAAGTGGGATTAAAAGACAGTGTTAAATCACAAATGTGGCCTTTTATCATCAACCAAGAACATAGAACAGAATAAAGGATGAAGGAGTCAGCTACTCAACACAGTGTCTGAGGAGACCCAAGGATTCTGTAGTGCTGATCTTTGTGCACTTTGCAGTCCTTGGATTTCTATGTGGTTTTATGTTGTTGTTGTTTGTAGTTATATTATGGCTTATAATAAGGGAAAAACTATCCCATTTGCAAAATATCCCCTTATTTTTATTAAGAAAATAAATAGTACTACAAAGCAGAGTTCCTTAGTCATTGGCTGGTCATTTATGTTACCTGGTTTTCTTATATACAAGGTGTGATCAAACAATACGGTGAATGTTTAAATAAAAAAAATTATTACAGTAAAAGACACATTGCCATCAGTTCCCTTCAGAATACTCCCCCTCGCTTTGAACACACTTATCCCACTGTTCTTGCCACTTTCTGAAGCAGTTCTGGAAGTCCTCTTTCGTGAGTGTCTTTAGTTGCGCTGTCTTGGCTTTGATGTCCTGAATCATTGTGACTTTGGGGAAGAGCCAAAAGTCACACAGTGCCAGATCCAGTGAATAAGGAGGATGAGGACACACTGTAATGTTTTGTTTGTTTGTTTGTTTGTTTGTTTTTTTAGCTGAGCCATTCTGCCACCTGTTGGCAGCTCAGCGGCTGCTCAGCTCGGGCCAGAAATCGAACCACCGTTGCTCAAACTCTTGAGCGAGCTCTTAACCAACTGAGCCACTTGGCCAACCCTTACACTGTAATGTTTTTATTTGACAAAAATTGCCATACCAGAAGCGACGTGTGACATGGAGCCTTTCCCATGGTGATCATAAAATACAGTGAATGCTGCTGCTGCGTGCCATCCAACAGAAAGGCAGGGCTCTTCAAGATGGGAAGCAGCACGTTGAACCTCAGTAACAGTGTGTGACAAGTTTCAATTTGTTCGGTGCAGTTACCGTATTTGCCAGCGTATAAGACGATTTTTTGGCCCTGAAAAATATGCCTCCAAGTGGGGG